GCTTGCCCCAGGTCATCCCCTCCCAGCCCTAAATGCCCACAGGAGGGGCCAACCATCCCAGGAGACCCCCTTCCTGTCCGCCTCACCGTGGCAGTCCTTGCGGCAGCAGGCACCAGGCAGCGGGTGGGCACAGGGGGCCTTGGGGCAGGCCCGAGGCTGGCAGCGGGCGTGGCCCTCCTGACACCAGCACTCCTGGCAGGGGTCTCGGGGGTGGGAGAAGCTCTGGCCGTGCGCAAACACTTGTTCCTCCAGGACGCAGTCTGGGCAGGGGGTGGGGAGGAATGGGGGCGAAGACTGAAGGCGCCAGGAGCCGGCAGACAGCTCCTCTCCCCTTGGAGCCCCGAGCTATGGTGGCAGCTGTACCCACAGAGGGAGAGGAGGGGGCTGTGATGCAGGCATGGGTGTCTCTCTGAGCACACACGTGTGTGTATGTGTGAGTGTGTGCACACACACGTGTGTACAGTCCTTTCACCGGCAGGCACATGTGTGTGCCTTGAGGGTGAAAAGCTGAAGGGCTCCTGAGTGCCACACGCCCTAGCACACTCTCCAGGGGGCGGGGGGCGGGCACACTGCGTTCCAGCACCCCGTCTCCCTCAGGGCACATCCAAACGTGTGTGGCATGAACGTGGTGTGTGGCATGAACGTGGTGTGTTACACGGGCGGATAGACAAAGATATCCGAGTGGTGCGGGGCGGGAAGAGGAGACTTGGATGGGGAAGAAGGGTGACATGGGGACATGAAGGAGAAACAAGTCTCCCTCCCACCCATGCCCTGTGCCTTCCAATCTTCGCCAGGCTGAGCCTTGAGAAGGCCGTGGCTTTCTAAGGGGACTGCTGTGCCCAGGGGGTGGCGGGAGGGCCAGGCCTAGGTCCCCCGAGCCAGACAGGTCCAGTGAGCACGTACCTGGGCACCTGGGGCAGCACTGGCCTGGTCCACTCTGGGGCCTGGCGCATGTTGTGGGTGGACAGTCAGCCAAGGAGCACCTCACGGTCCCATCCTGGGAGTGGGAGAGAGGGCAGAGGGGGTCAGAGCTGGGAGGGGCTCAGGGGGCAGCAGCCAGCCTGGAGGGTACCTCGCATCGGCAGGCGTGGCAAGGGCTGTCTATGTCCGTGAAGTTCTGCCCGTTGGCATACACTTGGCCGTGGTAGGTGCAGCTCTCACAGCTGGGGCAGCAGGCGCCTGGGCAGGCAGATTGGTCAGAGCCCAGCTGATCAGAGCAGGCGGGGCACAGCCAGGGTGGAAGGCAGATCAGGGCGGGGCACTCACCAGGTGTCTGGGTGGGGTGCTGGCAGGGGGTTGGGGAGCAGAGCACAGCCCCGCACACGGGCACCCCGTCTTGGCAGGAGCAGGCTGTGCAGGGCTGACCATCAGGCTCCCACTGGACGCCCTCAGCAAACTCCTCTCCACCAAGCACACAGGCTACAGCAAGGGGGCCGTCACCATGGCAACCTAGACACCTCCACCCACCCTCCCCTTCCCAGGACCCCAGCTTTACCACCCACACAGCAGCCTCTGAATATACACTGGGAGGGTTGGTGGCCTTAGCAAGGCCCCCCCTTTACTTGAAGGAACACCCCTCCTCCTCCAGCCACTGGAAGCAGCGCCCCTTTGCCGCTGTTTCTCCCTCCCCTC